AAATATCCATGTTCCATATGGTAACAATTCAGTCAAGTGTTGTCTGTGTTCTATGATGGTAACAAAGAAGGAAAGTTTCTGAAATATCAATGTTACATATGGTAACAATTCAGTCAAATGTTGTCTGTGTTCTATGGTGGTAACAAAGAAGGAAAGTTTCTGAAATATCCATGTTCCAATTAGTTAACAAAATAATCAAGTGTCTGAAATGTCGGTGATTAAATTAGTAAATAAAAAAGTATCAGAAATGTTTTTTTGCATCGTGCTTGAAATTAACAAGTCAGAAAACAAATACTCGTGTTTTTAAGTCTTTGATGTTAGATGGTCTCAAACAAATGAAAGTCAATTTGATGTTTCTACAGAAAAAAATATCATTAGTTTTGAAAGAAATTATGTATTAAGATGAGGAAACTATTCTAACTTAAGACTCTCAATACCTCTTTTGCAAATCATTAAGTAAAGACAGGGATTAGTTTTGGAGTAAAGCTATATATGTGAACATCCAAACAAAAAGAAGATTCTAGACAATAGTACAAATAAAAGTTATGTCTTGTTCTGTTTTATTTCATGGCTCTAAGGTTAAATGAGTGTGTTGTTGTGCACTTGCAGAAATACGTACGGAATTAATAATGTACCATGTTATGTGAAGGTATTTTTATCTGATATGGTACTTGTTTATACAATAACATCTTTCAAAATTTCTGGATCTTAAAATCATATTACTTTTTTAATTGAAAGGTAATGAAGAATTTAGAACAAGAGTTTTTTTTTAACATGCATCATTTTTATTTTGCAAGCATTTTTTGTGAAGCTTAAGGAATTTCTCTGTTACTTTACATTTCCAGTACACAAGTCCTTCAAAGATTATGTAGCAGTTGAAACACTTGATGGAGAAAACAAGTATGATGCTGGACATTATGGCTTGCAAGAAGCAGAAAAAGGAATAATTTTTGCTTCTTTTCCTCCTGTTCTTCACCTTCATCTTTTGAGATTTCAGTACGATCCCTTAACAGATACCAATATCAAGATCAATGACAGGTATATAGAATTAGAATAGTTACTGTTATTGACTGTAGTATTAACAAATTGGTACAAAATTTATCATTAGTAACCCAATGGGTGACCCAAATTTATTACCTTCTGCTGTTGACAACTTAAATGATTTTCAATTCTTTGAAATGTTGTCAGTTGAACTTGGTTGTTTTACGTACATGCTTTATATGAACTGTTATTTTAACTTTAAAAAAACTATTATTTCAGGTTTGAATTTCCAGAAAAACTCAGTTTAGATGAGTTTTTACAAAAACCTGAAACATCTCCAGCTGCTTATACTCTTCATGCTGTTTTAGTACACAGTGGAGATAACCATGGTGGGCACTACGTTGTTTTCATCAACCCAAAAGGTGATGGAAAGGTAGGTCACTGAAGTAGCTTAGCTAATACCTGCGGGTTACGGGTGTCATTACGTTTGTTGACTCGCATTCAAAAGTTTATTGAACTACTATTTCATGAATTATGTCATTAAGTTTGGTATCAGACTGTAGATTATAATTCAACTTTTAGTATACA